TTATAAAAGAAATAAAGTCTATAGAGATGCGACATATTATTTTGAAGTTTATGGTATTGAATATTGTTTGATTTTGCATCTAACATCACTGAATATATCATGATTTGATGAGTCACATAAAAAAGTACTTGCCATCTTATTTTAGCCGGACCAAATAGAATATTGGTATAAGCTAAGCATAGGGGAACAAACAATCTTCTTGTGGAACTTGTGTAGTACATCAATGCTATACGATCTTCGAAAGTCAAACTTGTACTACAAAGAGAGAGAATTAATGGGAGCCAATATATGGCCAGTCGGCTTCTGTTTAATTATTGTTGTTTAACCATTAAACAAGAAGGGTTTAAATGTATAAGCAATCGAAACCATTAGATAAATAACTTAGCACACAAGCCATTGGGTTGAGAGGAGCTTCATCAAAACTCATCCATGGCTTCCATCCCTTTCATTAAGACTCTCAACTCAACCTGTGTTTTAGTTTCTTTGCTTCTACTCCTGCAACCGTTTCTAGTCAAGTGTCATGGCGGCGAAGAACATGACAGTGGTAGCGGCACTGAGGACGAACATAAAGTTCTGCATTCGAAAGGCTTGGTTTTGGTGAAAGTATGGTGTTTGATTATTCTACTGGTGAGCACTTTCGCCGGTGGGATCTCCCCCTACTTCTACCGATGGAACGAAAGCTTTCTTCTCTTGGGCACGCAATTTGCTGGTGGGGTTTTTCTTGGTACCTCTTTGATGCATTTCTTGAGTGACTCAGCTGAGACATTTGGTGACCTTACCACCAAAACATACCCTTTTGCATTCATGCTAGCATCGGCTGGGTATCTGCTAACCATGCTCGGGGATTGCATCGTGCTATTTGTGACAAGTTCCAGCGAAAAAGAAGCTAGAGTGGAAGTGGAGGAGGGAAGGACTGATGCAGAGCATGATCATAAGTAGGATGAAGATGGCGTCAGCCCGGTTTTCTTGAAGACATCGTCTTTCGGAGACACCATACTTCTTATCCTCTCCCTTTGTTTTCATTCGGTTTTTGAGGGTATTGCTGTTGGAGTTGCAGGTATGGTTTGAGCTCTCATTAACTCTTATTGATTTCACATTAATTTCATATATATGGTATATATCTATAACTCTGCGTGCTGTACTTATCCATCTAACTATGGGCAGATTTTCTTTTGCTGGTACATAGAAAATGACTAATGAATTTGAACCTTAGTTCGCGCGTCTACTCAATTAAGTCCCTATGGTTTTAGTTAGGTCGCTATAGTTGAGGTTAGTTTATAACTTCGTCAGATTGTTAGATGGTGCCTCAAATCAGTTCTCACAGCTTTGAGTCACAAAGAAGTAATAATTTTGTCTGACAAGTTGATAAATGAAGCAAAAATGATTCTATCTCACAATACAATATTTCAAATATTGATTTACAATAAAGATTATGTTAGGGACAATTGCCCTAAAAATTATGCTACGGTCAGTCGCTTACGCATGCATGAGAGATTTTTGATTGTTGGTGCATGTGAGGCCAATAATAGATAAACAGTCGGATTTTGCCCATACTTTTTCTATAGATTATCAAGATTGTAAAATAAGGACTTGATTGAAGAATTGAACGTATATGAACCTGATCAAAGAAAAAGAACTCCCAAACTATATATAGAGTCCAAATTGGTCATCTTTCCTATGTGTGTTAATATTTATGTATAGGTATGTAAATCTGATTCTTCAAATAAATCTATGCAATTTGAGGCGACCGAACGGTGCATATAACACATTCAAAGTTTAGAGTATAATATTGATTAACTTGGCAAGATCTAAACCCTAAACTATAAGTTCCACAATCCGACTCTAGGAAATCGAACACCCGTTTACATATACGTATGCATTTAACTCTATGTATATATATTGCAGATACAAAGGCAGATGCATGGAGGAATCTGTGGACCATATCATTGCACAAGATTTTTGCAGCCGTTGCTATGGGGATAGCATTACTGAGAATGCTACCTAAGAGAGCATTGCTGGTGACTGCAGCTTACTCTTTTGCTTTTGCTGTTTCTAGCCCCATTGGAGTAGGCATAGGCATTGCCATTGATGCCACAACTCAAGGACGTGTAGCTGATTGGATTTATGCCATTTCCATGGGGCTTGCTTGTGGGGTTTTCATCTATGTTGCAATCAACCATCTCATTGCCAAAGGCTTCAAGCCACAAGCCAAATCTTACTTTGACACTCCAGCTTTCAAGTTTCTTGCTGTGCTTCTTGGGGTGGGAGTGATAGCAGTTGTTATGATCTGGGATTAATTAATGAGCTAATTAAAATTACCACAAATGGATTCCAATAATTTGCGTTGTGTTTGTTTAAAACTAAGAATGTTCGAGTGTTTTCTGGAACTTGGAATTGACAATGGTTATCCTGTTCTTCTTTTTCTTTAGGTGCTTTTTCTGGGTGAAAGGTTTGTCATATAAGCAGTACCAAATCCACTCCTCTTAATAATGGCCCTAGAAAAGTTTTTAGCTTTGTGTTATCCTCATTTATTATATTGGATAAGCATCTACACTGCCGAGGTTTTGATCCCTCACTTTGTATCTTAGAGCATCTACAATGGTTAGGATCAATGCAATTTTATTGCATGAAATTGAACTAAAATAGTAAAATCTCACTTGCAATAGCGTGATTTAGTTCATTGCAATAGAGGGTGCTATGTGGTGAATCCTCTATTGAATTACAATAGGCTAACTATGAGACCCGCATGCCAATAAACTGAAGCTATTGAATTGTACCATTGTAAGTAAAACTGCAGTTCAATTCAATAGATCCCAAAATAGTATTGCACTATTGAACAACCATTGCGGATGCTCTTAGTTACAATCTCCACTTGTCGAAGCAAGTTCTAAATTCAAATATCATAAACGACAGTTCTGAGTTCAGCCACTTATATTACACTTACTCCACATTCACAACAAGAGTTCGGCAAGATTCAAAATATTCGAATAATGCACGTGGAGTTTGGATTCACATCCTAATTCATAAATCACTAAAAGTGAAATTGTTCTTTCTTTAGTTACCATTTGCTTACTATGCGTTTTAAAAACCTGGATTTCTACATTGGATCATTGGATCGCTGCTTCTTCCACATTCAATGAATTTAATTAAGAGTGAATATGCTTTAAACCTTTTTGGTTTCTTGCTCCCTTCTTTTTGGTACACCATAAAAAAACTTGTCACCCTTCATGTGCTAATCATCTTCAACACCGGTTTCTTTGCCCACAATATCATCATTACACAGACATGCTGATCTTTCTCTTGCAGGTACAGGTACGTACGTATAACAACTTGGTCTCCACAGTTGAATTATTACTTACTTTTTCTTTCCCTTTTTTGGGTGATAAAATTATGAGATGGGAGACTAAGTGTTGAACTGCAATTAGGTGTAGTTAATTTTTCTTAATGTATTGTAGTTTTAGAGTAGATTATAAGGAGTGTAGTTGGTGCATCAACACACAGGGTAGGGTGAAGATCCAACATGTTCTTGTTCAATCCAAACTAGTTTTAAAGTCTAAGCTTGTGCTAAATGGGGTAAGCTCAATTGAAACCAAACCTAATTCAATTGTTATCATTTCTCTTCTTGCTTGAAAGATTGGTGGTGGATCAAATGTCGTCCTCTTTGGAGTCTTTGGTATTAATTTCTGTTTGGCTGGCAGAGGCCCAACCTCAAGTGAGTCTTGCATGCAATGCATCAACATGATTGGACACAAAAATCATGACTTCAAATGTAATATTTCTCTCTTCTGTTTTTAGGTCAGAAAAATATATTAATATTTCTTTGATAGATCATATCTCTTGGGTTGGGCCACCAAAGTCTGACCGACTGTTGGAATTTTGGCGAAATTGGTAATTTCTAAATTTACCAAAAGTTCAACCATTTCATAAAACCATAATTAATCATAAAGAAAATATTTTTGTCAATGAAATCAGAATTGCAAAAATTGTCGGTGTTCATGATGTCAAGATATTCGTGGTGTATTGTCGTGCACAAGGCAAAATCATAGCTCGTGGTGCAAGCTTAATGACGTATCATTTGTCATGTGGCCTTGAGTTAGCTAGGGTTTATGGATTATGTACGTAGAGTTGGAGGTAGGGACGGAATTAGAAATTTTTTTCTAGAGTGGTCAAGAAGTCCAAATATCTTAATTGGGGGGCCATTGCATGAATTTTTTGTTTCAAAATTGTATACTAATTATTGGAAGAGTACATAGAATTACATGTAGATTAGGAGAGCCAAGGCCATCTCACACCTATGTGACTCCACCACTTGAAAGAGACGAAAGATATCATATATATATATATATGGTTAAAATTAAGGGTGAAATCGGTTCAGTTACCGATTAAAAATCACAAATCCAACAACCGATCGACATCAGTCAATACTGCTAAAATCTCAACTGGCATCGACCCGGCATATGTATATTGATTTTTAAAGATAATTTTGCATGTAAGGGTATATTTCAAATGTATTATAACTAATGGTTTTTGTGAGGGTCATAAGATAAACTACATGGCCACTTGTCATATAAGCAATATCTAAATTGTGGAAAATTAGGTGAAATAATTAAATAAGGCCCTAGAAATTTAATTTAACCTGCCAATAGTTATACAAACCCCCACATACCCCACCTGTAACAACACAATTAGTGGCTTTTTGAACTAGATCAAACGGGCTTTTGTGAAAAGATATAAAAAGAGTCCGTTGGCTTCTGTTGAGGAAAATGATCGATGGACAAAATCTGGTAAATAAGAACAAAAATTAAGAGGACAGCAGCGTGCACCAAATTGACAGACAGAAATAAATTAATTAACTTTACTTCATTGACCAACAAGTTCAGTTGGTAAATTCTCCCTCTGTCAAAAACCTGTAACATCCCATTACCTAATTGACCAAACACACTTTTTTCATCTGTATATAAACTACTCTCTCAAGCCTCAGTTCCTCGGACCTTTGCAGAGATATCTCAAAAGAAACACCAACTTTTTTAAAAAAATGGCTTCTGCTTTCCCTTTATCACCAGCATTTGTAGCTGCTTTTCTTCTTGCTCTGAGCTGCTTTTGGTCCCTTCCTGAGTTTTCTGCTGCTGCAGCAAGTGGTGTTACAAGGCACTACAAATTTGATGTACGCACCAAAAATATTTTATAATGCCAACATTGAGCTTTATTTATTAATTTTTTTTTTTTTTTTATAGCTGAAATTAATTATATCTTTGTGTAATTTTTGTGCAGATAAAGTTGAAAAATGTGACTCGGCTTTGCCAGACAAAGAGCATTGTGGCTGTGAATGGGAAATTCCCTGGTCCTAGAATTATTGCTAGAGAGGGGGACAGGATTTTGGTTAAGGTGGTCAATCATGTTCAGAACAACATCAGCCTCCATTGGTATGACACAACTTTCACATTATCCATATATAAAATTCAGATTTTCTAATTATCTATGTATAATTCTCTGTTTTTTTTAAATTTTTTTTTAAATTTTGTGTAAACACAGGCATGGGATCAGACAATTGCAGAGTGGATGGGCAGATGGGCCATCATATATCACACAGTGCCCTATTCAAACTAACCAGAGTTATGTGTACAACTTCACCATAACTGGCCAAAGGGGAACTCTCTTCTGGCATGCTCACATCTCATGGCTAAGAGCTACTGTCTATGGACCCCTCATTATCCTCCCTAAGCACAATGCTTCCTACCCTTTTCCCAAACCCCACAAAGAAGTTCCCATCATTTTTGGTAACTAAACCCACCAAATTTAATATAATTAATTAAGTGAGTAATTTTCATGTTATGTTGTCAGACTGTTAATCTTGAATCACACATTAGATTCAAAATATATTTCGTCAAATTCGACAGTCTAACAACATAATAATAATAATAGATTCATGCCACAATTAATTTGCTAACTTGTTTTGACCACTTCATTGCAGGTGAGTGGTGGAAGGCTGATCCAGAGGCTGTTATTCGCCAGGCTCTTCAGACTGGAGCAGGTCCAAATGTCTCTGAAGCCTACACAATTAATGGACTTCCAGGGCCATTGTACAATTGTTCCAAAAAGGGTATATATGTCTTGGTCGTGTGAGCCTTATTGTCTATGGAGCACAAGTCTTCTCTCACTACAAATGAAGTTCTAATTCTTCTTGTTCTTATGCTTTTCAGACACTTTCAGGCTAAAGGTGAAGCCAGGCAAGACCTACCTCTTGCGTTTGATCAACGCTGCAGTCAATGATGAACTGTTTTTCAGCATAGCAAACCACAGCCTGACAGTAGTGGAAGCAGATGCTCTTTATGTCAAGCCCTTCAAGACTGATATTTTGCTCATCACTCCAGGCCAAACCACCAATGTGCTTCTCAGGACAAAGCCAAGCTACCCAAATGCCACTTTCCTCATGCTTGCTAGGCCTTATTTCACAGGCATGGGCACTTTTGACAATTCCACTGTGGCTGGAATCCTTGAATATAAAAACCCTTCAAATCCCTCTGCCTCCACTTCCCTAAAAAACCCTCCTCTTTTAAAGCCAACCCTTCCCCAAATCAATGCCACCTCATTTGTTGCAAATTTTTCAGCAAAATTCAGGAGTTTGGCTAATTCCAAATTCCCAGCCAATGTGCCGAAAACTGTCCAAAAACGCTTCTTCTTCACAGTAGGCCTTGGAACCAACCCATGCCCCAAAAACCAGACATGCCAAGGGCCTAACAACAGCAGCAAATTTGCAGCTTCTTTTAACAATATTTCCTTTATTCTTCCCACAACAGCCCTCCTTCAATCTCATTTCTTTGGCAAATCCAATGGAGTTTTCACCACAGATTTTCCCACCAATCCTCTCCAGCCATTCAACTACACAGGCACTCCATCCAACAACACCAACACCAATGTGAGCAATGGGACAAAAGCGGTGGTGCTCAAGTTTAATACTAGTGTGGAAGTGGTGCTTCAGGGCACTGGCATTTTGGGTGCTGAGAGCCACCCTGTCCATCTTCATGGCTTCAACTTCTTTGTTGTTGGACAAGGTTTTGGAAACTTTAACCCTAACAAAGACCCTGCCAGCTTCAACCTTGTTGATCCTGTTGAAAGGAACACTATTGGAGTGCCTTCGGGGGGTTGGGCGGCTATCCGATTTCTGGCGGACAATCCAGGTAACTGCTGGTTTGTTTCACATAATAAGCACAATATCAACACATAATAAGAACAAAGCAAATAAATAATGTTAAGGCAGTGATTGACTCGTACTGGGTACTAATCTATATTTTGTTCGATGCTATCATACATTAACACAATTTTAATAAATATTGACAGTACATAAGTATTGTAGATTGGTACTCAATGATACGAACAATATTTTTCCTTTAATGTTTTTGGTATGACTGAAATTGCAGGGGTTTGGCTACTGCACTGCCACTTTGATGTCCATTTGAGTTGGGGACTAAGGATGGCATGGGTAGTCCAGGATGGGAAGCTCCCTAATCAGAAACTGCCTCCTCCACCGTCGGATCTTCCCAAGTGTTGACCGTTGATTCTTTTTTTCGGATACAATGAGGCTCCTTATACATTTATCTCTCTGTCTTTTTTTCTTTTGGTAACTTAAATTTTTTGTTTTCATTTGCGCCCTATAGAGTAGCCAAAGGCTTGCAACATTTGGCACCATCCCCTGAAAATGGAAGGAAATTGTGGAGATTTTGTGTTAGCCGGAACATTGATGCTTTTGTTGGAAATAAATAATAATGCAATTTTACATTGATACTTCTTTCGGTGTTGGAAGATGTTTTAAGTTCAAATTCTTCCTTCCCTTTCACTGAAAAAAATATATCGAATTTCTCCTTGTTAACACTAACAATAGAAGATCCACTGGTGCAAACTCAAACTCTTGATCGAATCAATTCCTACACGAGGTATATTTTTTGTCCACGACATTCACCCCTCTTATGAACGCACAATACCCTAACACGTCATAGCCCTCCATGTGGAACATAAAGAAAATGTGGGATTGAAATGGGCCCGTTTTGCCTCTCACTAGCTTCATACATGCACTCAATTCAAAAGACTAGCATGTTGTTAGGTGATGTTGCCTATCCACCCATACATTAACTCTTTATCGAACCTATTTTGATCCAATGTGGGACCAGAGACGGTCCTACGTCTAGGTTAACCTCGGATATAGCTTAGGTGATTTGATTTTTTATAGCCCAAAGTTAATAAGCAGCCTAAGTGACTTTATTTTTTACACCCCATAGACGCATACACCATCGCGGCTATATCGTTCAAATATATTCAAATATTTTAACAGTACAACCATGCGTCTATACTTTTAAAATATTCGAATATATTTGAACAATATAGATGCACAACTATACTCTTTAAATATTAATATATTTTAAAAGTATAGTTGCGCGACAATACTGCACAACATGATTTTCGTTTTTGTAATTAAGTAATATCTTAGCCTTTTTCTATGGGTAGTGATTTTCTCACTCCCCTTTTGTCCACTTACACTCTCTTTTATTTTTTAATAGTTTTTATTATAACAAAAAAGGAAGTGTAAGTGCACAAAAGATGAGTGGGAATATATAATTTCTAACAAAGGGAGTGTAAGTGCACAAAAGAGAAGTGGGAAAATCAACTCCTTTTTCTATTACTTTAACAAGTAATTATGTTTTAATTATTATTTATTTAGGAAATAATTAATAATTAAATATTTTTATAATTTCATAAATTACTTAATTAATTTTAATTAATTTTTTGTGCATTTTTTATTTTTATTTTTTATATATAAATTAGTTTGTTTAGTTTAATATTTGCAATTAAGTAATATCTTAATCTTATTTAATTATATTATTTATTATTTATTTAATGAATAATTAGAATTTAAGTATTTTAATTAATTTCATAAATGAACCTGGTCTATAGCCTAGGTGACTTGATTTTTTTATAGCCCAAGGTTAATAGGGCCTTGATGACTTGTTTTTTTACACCCCACACGGACACATACACCCCTATCCTACCCATAGAAAATCTTTTTTTTTTCTTTAGTTAACTAACCCCACAAGTCTTATAGAAAGAAAAACATAAACTAACCTCACACATGTGACATATACCCGTTTTAAAAAAACACTCATTTCATTCCCTAAGAGAAAATCCTTTACCTTGGCTTGAATACCATCTTTTCATTTTTATTTTCCAAGTTGGCTTGAATGGCTAGATGGACTAAAATCGTTCAGTTTTTTTTTTCTTCTTCTTTTGTAATGGATAAATGCTTTCAATTTTTTTCCTTTCAAGGAGAAGTTTATTGTGTAATTGTCATAATTGACCATAAAATTCCTACTTCAATTTTTCTATATTTCTATATTTACATAGGTTTAATTAAAATTACCTGTAGGATGACTAAAAAGTCTAGAAGAGAGTGAATAGGCCAATTTAAGATTATAATCCATAAACAACAAAAATAAACTTTGGTAGCTGGATTGACATAGCTTATCAATTCTGAAACGTGCTAAACATAAAACAAAGAAACTCGTAGAGAATTATTTTACGTGGTAAAACCCCACATTTAGGGAAAATCCACGGGATTCCTTAGTTCAACATAAATCCACTATAGAATGATGATTACAATAAATACTCACACAATTATCCTAGACACATTCTAGATAATGTTTACCGACTTCTTCGTAACTCAACTTCTATCACGGGATGATCTTCGACACTTTTTATATTGAATGCAATACTGGTCACGATTGCTTCAAGCTCGCCGGAGGAAAACCGCCACCACTGTCTTGGTGCCCTCAACCGTATGAGTCACCGAACAATGCAAATGAAGGCAATATGAATGATTAAAGTGTTTGATAAATCATGAATTAAACATGGAACACTTGATGATTTATCTCAAATATATGCACATCAGCTTTTGCTTAAGAATTCTATATGCTCAACACAAATATCAAAAGCTGTGTATTCCAAAAGAGATGCACACAATGATTTATGCAAAACTCATTCTCCACATTCACGTGAAGGCCCACAGCCACTGTCACACCCTGGATCGGCTCCGCCGTAGCACGATATTGTCCGTTTTGGCCCCATCTCCGCCATCACAGTTTTGTTTCTGGGAACTCACAAGCAACTTCCCAGTGTGTCACCCATCCTAGGATTGCTCTAGCTCAAACTCGCTTAATTTCGGAGTTCCCATGACTCCAAAGTCAGTGAGCTCTCAAAAGGCCTCGTACTAGATGAAGGTGGGCACGCACATATAAGGCACATCACCCTTTCTCCGTTGGTCAATATGGGATGTTACAACCACCACTTAATATCTTGTCATTCATTCAATTTGATAGTCTTAGAATCCTATATGGTTTCGTCAGCTTATCATTTGCACTCCAATCAATTGTTTATCCAATGAAACAATGTATATCAAGATGTAAACAACAAAACCAAATAGGATATTAATTAAAACATATTTTCCAAGTCCAAGATGATGAAAACATAATATTTTAACTTAAATCAAAATAGAGTCCGACTAGGAAAGTAATCTCAAGAGATAAAATCTAATCATATTAAAAATAGGACTAACATAGAAGTGCTTGAGTGAAAATAGCTCCAACTAGGAATCCTATAATGAATGCATGATTATGTCATGATTTAACTGAAATCAGTCTCCACATATCAATCAAGTCTTTCTTTGAAAATCCGGGATTGAATATGTTGTGCCAAAACTTCCAGTAAAAGATATTTACATCCTAATTCCCGACCTATGCTAGAGTATAGGAAATGACAATACAATTTTCATACTAACATTATTTTTTTAAAAAAAAAAATTAGAAATTTGGAACTTCTTGTTATCAATGAAATTAACTTGTACCGTCGAGTTTTCTATCTTTAAGTAGGTCTGTATGTAAGGTAAATTTAGCCCACCCTATTTTCAAATCCTGGGTCCGTCCATGGTGGGATCAGTTCTTGATCTATATTCTATAGCACATTTTGCAAATGAAGTGGAATGTATACACATTCACATATTGTCATGCATACGAAAAACTTATACACATATGTCACAATATTATTGGAATAATGTAGAAGCTCCTACTTATTTTCACTATAATTTGTGTGTATTTGAAAATCAATTTCTTCAACTATGATCCACACCCGTAGTTGGCATGCTCGTTTTACAGGATTGATTCCCCAAATAATTTCAAATCATCAATCGAGAACACCAATTTTCCACACAAAAATGAGCTAAACCTCTCATGTATCTCTTCCATTGTCAAATTGAAAACATTGGTCTTTCCATGTTGACAATTGAAAAGGTATCAAAAATTTAAGCAAGTTATTAATATATTACATTTTTTTCAGCAGCGGCATATGGCACAATTAGAATATAGGTAGGCATCGAGATTAGTGTACAAGGAGGGTACATGGGAGAGAAGCTACATTCCTAGATTAAATCAAACTAAAGTATGATGTCACTTCTAAGAGAATTTTTACTCAAAATTTCTCGTCAAAGAAACGAAAAGGTGTGGCTTGCATTTCCAAGGCAGACAGAAGTTACTTCTAATGTCTTATTATATTGGCAGCTCCCCACAACATCCAAAGGGAATCTTTCTCTCCTCCAAACATTAAAAAATTAATTAATTATTTAAAATTATGGATGTTGGGTTAGTCATGAGATTTGATTAACTTGAACATTGAATATGTATTTGATATATATGCTAATCTCTTTTCACAATGTACATATAAAAGACTTGGTAGCTCATCTCAATTGTAATTACAAATGATATATATAATTCTCTAATATAAACCAAGATTAAGAAAAGCAAAAAGTTAAAATTAAAAAACTAGAGAACTTTTGTGTTATCAGTCTCCTCTTGATCAGATGGGAGAAAATTTGATACATCTATGAGTCCCATCACACAGGAAGATGATATATATATATATATTTATATATTTATATATGAATGAAATAAAAGAGGGGAGATAGCTTAATTTCTAGCACTAACACAATAATGGATTAATTTGGGAAATCCCATCAAGATTAATTAATCACCATGCTTATGCCAACAAACAAGCATAGCAACACATCTTCTCATGATGTAGAATCTAGCCTTCTGTTCCTTGGCAAGGCTGCTACACTTTCTGCTGATTTTAGAGCTTTTCTGTGACGTACTTCTGGGAAGTGGACACTTGGAATTAGAGGCATTGCTCTTCTGTGAATAGCTCCTCATCAAAAGAGGAGCATTTGAAGACTGGCTTCTTGTTGATGAACTCCTTGTGAATGCAAACTTGGAAGAAGAAGAAGACGAAGTGCCTTCTTGGTGCTTCTTTGGCAGCTTCCATTTCTCATCCATAATAGTATGTAAATTTGCAATGCTCAAATTTGTGAGGTTGATCTTCGATCTCTTCTGGCCTCTGGTAGCTGGCACTTAACTTCTCATCAACTTGTTTGCTTTATAATGTCAATGTGTGTTTCTGAAGAGAGAGAGAGAGAGAGAGAGAGAGAGAGAGAGAGAGAGAGAGAGAGA